TTCAATAAGTGGTGCTGCAAAAACTGGACAGTAACATGTAAAAGGATAATATTAGAGGACTTCCCTGGTGGTACAGTCGATAGGAATCTGCCTGCCAGTGTAAGGGACACAGGTTTGATCCCTGGCCCAGGAAGATTCCACATGCTGCAGGCAACTAAGCCCGTACACCACTACTACTAAGCTCATGCACTCTAGGGCCTGTGAGCCACAATTAATAAACCCCTGTGTGACAATTACTGAAGGCTGTGTGCCTAGAGCCTGTGCTATACAAGAGAAGCCATTGCAATAAGTCTGTGCACTGCAAAAAAGAGTAGCCCCTGTTCATTGCAACTGGAGAAAGCCTGCGCACAATGAAGATCCAGTCCAACCAAAAAATTAATAAATAATTTTTAAAAAGGATAATACTAGAAATTTTGCTCACATCATATATAAAAATAAATGGATTAAAGACCTCCATGTAAGACTGGAGACCATAAAATTCCTAGTAAAGAACATAAGCAGAACACTCTTTGACATAAATTGTAGCAATATCTTTTATGGATCTGACTCCTAAGCAAGAGCTTCCCAGGTGGCTCAATGGTAAAGAATCCACCTGCCAGTGCAGGAGACACACATTCAATCCCTGGGTTGGGAAGATCCCCTGGAGAAGGAAATGGCAACCCACTCTAATATTCTTGCCTGGGAAATCTCATGGACAGAGGAACCTGGTGGACTACAGTCCATGGGTTCACAGAAGAGTTGGACAGGACTTAGTAACTAAATAACAGTAACAACTCCTAAGGCAAAAGAAACAAAAGCAAAAATAAACAAATAGGACCTAATTAAACTTGAGCTTTTGCACAGCAAAGGAAACCATCAACAAAATGAAAAGACAACCTACTGAATCACTGTGTTGTATACCTAAAACTAACAATGTAAATCAACTGTACTTTAATAAGAAAAAATGTAAATCAACTGTACTTTAATAAGAAAAAAGACTGTCTTGGAGTAGACAGCCTATCTTAACATAGATACAAGGTGAGTAATATTTAATATGAAACTAATGTAAGTTTCATTACTGTCTTATAACTTTGCTTTCAAAGAATTACATTAACATGCTGTTAAGTCGCTTCAGTTGTGTCCGACTCTGTGCGATCCCAAAGACAGCAGCCCACCAGGCTCCCCCATCCCTGGGATTCTCCAGGCAAGAACACTGGAGTGGGTTGCCATTTCCTTCTCCAATACATTACCATACTGAATGCTTTTCTCTCTCATAATTTGAGAAATTGCGTATCATCCTATTACCACAGGTAAGTGGGAGAATAATCTTTAAGTATGCTAAAAATAAATGAATTGTATACTTTATAAGGTTAAGTTTATGGTACATGAATTATATCTCAATAAAAAGTAAAGGAGAAGTAAAGACTTCCGGATACAAATAAAAACTGAGGGAGTTCACTCCCAGTAGACCTGCCCTGTAATAAATGGTGAAACAAGTTCTTCAGGAAGGAGATAAAGAACATAGGTCAGAAACTTGGATCTATTTAAGAAAGGAAGAGTGAAGTTTCCCTGGTGGCCCATTGGCAAAGAAGCCTCCTGCCAATGCAGGAGACAAGGGTTCAATCCCTAGTCTGGGAAGATTCCACATGCCACAGAGTAAGCCCCTGTGCGGCAACTATCAAGCCTGTGCTCTAGACCCTGGGAGCACAACTACTAAAAGCTGTGTGCCCTAGAGCCTGTGCTCCACAGCAAGGGAAGTCACCACAACCAGAAGCCAACACACCGCAACTAGAGAGTATTCCCTGTTCTCCGCCACTGGGGAAAGCTGAGCACATCAACAAAGACCCAGTGCAACCAAAAGTAAATAAATAAAAAAAATTTTTTTAAAAAAAGGAAGAGTGGAAGAGGTGGAATAAATAAAGGTAAAATAAAATATTTTTTATTTTTAATTTCTCTAAAGGATAACTGCTAAAACTATAGGAGTAAAAATGTACTGGGTGATTATAGCATAGGATCAGTGAAATAAATGACAGCAATGTCACAGGGACAGTACGGCAGAATTAGAATAGTCTGCTATACAGTAACCATATGACATATTATTTGAAGGTGGACTTAGATTATTTTATATGTAAAATCATTATACTAGTTCACAAAGCAAGCTTCACTAAATTTCAAAGAATAGGTATCATACAGGCTAGGATCTCTGACCACAGAGCAATTGAGAAATTAATTAGAAAATTAATTACAATTCCTGCATGTTTGGAAATTTTAAAACACATTGTTAAATACTCACAGGTTCAAAAATCATAATGTTTAAAAAAAAAGATATTAATAATAATGCCAAACTATATATCAAAACTAATGGAACATACCAAAATCAGTGTTTTGAAGGAAATGGTAAGCTTTAAATATTAAACAAAACTGATGAGTACCTGAAAATTAATGAGCTACATTTCTATTGTAAGTTAGGAAAATAACCACAAAACAGACCCAAAGAAAGTATAAAGAAAGATAAAATAAATATGAGTGGGAACTAATGAAACTGAAAAAATACACACAACAGAGAAAACCAACAAAACCAAAAGTTCAGTGTTTGGGAAAAAATACCAAGAAAATAAATAACCCTTCAGTAAAGTTGATTAAGGAAAAAGAGTTAAAGGATAAACAAATAACTTGATGAATGAAAAGGATGGGCATGATTATAGATAAACACTAAAAAGATTTTAAAGTAATACTATCAACAACCATATGCAAAAATACTGAAAGGTTAGGTGAAATAGAATCTGTAAAGAAAACATAATTTACCAATACAATGCACAAAGTTCTATAAGTTGTAAGAAAACTGAAGGAGTGTTTAAGAATTTTTCCCATGAAGAAAACATCGTCTCAGATAATTTTATACGAATAGGTACCAAACTGAAGAAACAGATCATCTTAAACTTATTTAAATTCTTTCCAAAGGAGGAAAGAAGGAATACTCTCCAGTCCATTTCAGAAGACCTGTATAACTCTAAGACCAGTGTCACATATAGTCATATCATTTTTCTTTCTGAGTAAGAAAAATAAAGCCATTTCCCTCATGAATACACAATGAAAATTCTGAACAAAATATAAGTATATCAAATTCAACAATGTAATAAAAATAATACACTCTGACCATGTTATGTTCATACTAAGTGAAAGTTACCCAGTCATGTCCGACTCTTTGCAACCCCATGGACTATACAGTCCAGGCAATTTTCCAGGCCAGAATACTGGAGTGGGTAGTCTTTCCCTTCTCCAGGGGATCTTTCCAACCCAGGGATCAAACCCAGGTCTCCCACATTGTAGGTGGATTCTTTACTAGCTAAGCCACCAGGGAAGCCCAAATATGGCTAAGTATGTGAAGTACTAAGGGAAGTACTTCAAGGAAGTACTAAGTATGAGAGGACAAATTAACATTTATAAAAAGCTATAAATGTTCCTTATTAGAATAGTAATTTTTTAAAAGAAAAACTATATAATTATCTCAATAGATGCAGATAAAACATTTGATAAAACTCAAAACATAAACACATTATTAAAAGCTTCAGTAGGTTAGGAATAGAAGGGAACTTCCATACTCTACTAAGAATATCTACAAAACCATCTTATAGAAAGTGAAGAAATGAACATAGATTTCAGAATCAGTAAAGAGACTGCAGGATAAAGAAGGAAAGAACCATATAGATATACTATTTAAAAGGTCCCAATTCTTGTATTGTTAAGGACCTAATTTTAACTTCAGTGTGAGTTCCCTGGAAAGTGGAAGTGTTAGTTGCTTAGTAGTGTCCGTCGCAAAGGGTCACTATCTATAGCATCTAAGGGTCATGGACTATAGCCCACCAGGCTCCTCTATCCATGGAATTCCCCAGGGAAGAATACTAGAGCAGGTTGTCATTTCCTTCTCCAGGGGATCTTTCCAGTCAAAGGACTGAACCCGTCTCCTGCACTGCAGGTAAATTCTTCACTGTCTGAGCCACCAGGGAAGCCCTGGATCCTTATGCTATTGCTAACCGAACAAACAAACATGCTTGGACCAGTGATGAGGGTATGTCATGAATCAGTGAGTCTCAAAGTGTGGCCCCTGCAGCATCAGCACCCCCTGGATACTTGCAAAAAATGCCAATACTCCAGGCCTCTCTCCCCTACTGAATCAGAAACTTTGGGGGTGGGGCCCAGCAGCACGTGTTTTAACAAGCCCTCCAGGTGATTCTGATGCAGCATAAAGACTAAGCACTACAATCATAATCATAAGCTACAGATTCAAAAGTATACAAGTCTGAACACCCATAGTCCAATTAAGAAAAGAGAAAGGCCAGCTAATGGATGAAGCTGCACAGATGGCTCATGGGATGACGATCGAACTTTCTCATTTAGCTGAGTTTAAACTAGATGAGAGGGATCCTGAACGTGACTCCCTTTCTTCATGATGCTAACAAATTTAAAGGAAGAAAATAAGGCCTATTATACTATTAAAACCAGCAGTAACCCTGCATGCTAGATATACGTCAATGCTGTGTCATATTTTATTGGGTAGATCCCAAGTCAGAACCAGTTTTAAAAAGTACCGTGACTTCTGCAAACGGGGAGAATACCCTCCAAGACGTTTTCCTACGGTTTGAAATGAGGGGTAACTCTGATTCAGCACAACACAGGCAATCACCTCTCTCCTCTAGAGAGAAGAAAAAAATGTAGGCTTGTGTGTTGAGAACTACTGGACACTGCTGCCCAAGACAAAGCGCAGTTTTGGAGTGTAGTATATCTCTGCAAAAGCCCCACTAGAAGCATCTTGTCATCCGGATGGGAACTCAGCTCAGTGCTCTGCGATGATCAAGAAGGGTGGGAGGGAGGCTCAAGAGGAAGGGGATATATGTATACTTATAGCTGATTCATGTTGTACAACAGAAACCAACACAACATTGTAAAGCAATTATCCTCCAATAAATAAAAATTAAAAAAATTTGCTAAGAAAGTTAAAAAAAAAAAAAGAAGAAGCATACCTTATGAACCTCTGCCAACTCATGGTCCATCCTTGCAGCCCTCTTTAGAAAACCATCTTTGGTAGTAGTGACTTTTGGTTTTGGTGGTTTGATTCGGGGTTGTGTCACAAAATCTGGGAGACATGACTCAAGTTCAACTAATCCTATGGAAAGGAAGTACATGATTAGTGTCTGGTGCTTAAATGTATCATTTGAAAACATACTGTTAATTTTATTAGCGGTTTGCCAAGTGGTTTTATTTAGAATTACTGATAAGTTGTACCTAGTATAATTGAATTGTCTCTGAAATACAAAGGAAATTTCTATATAAATAACTTATATTCTTGGTAACTTAGATTGTAAAATAAGAAATGCATTCTAAAATGAAACCACTGTCCTACCAAAAAGTAATAATACCACAATAATAAACAGGAAGTTAATGATAATATGATACATGGCACCACCATTCTAAAGTGGCTGTACACCAGGTTATCATATTCAGCTCTGGAGAGGGTCAGCCAGAGGTGCAAGTTCAATGGTGTGACTGTCAATGCACGATCTTGCCATATGATTCTCCAACCTCTCAACTGAAATTTAAATAATTTAATTAAGGCTCTCTTAGACTTTACAACAGGTATAACCCTCTCCATCAATTTATCCCCTAGTTTATCCATCCCCTTGCCCACTAGAATTCTGGTGTTTCTTCATAAAGGGCCGATTTCATTACATATTTCTTGTTTGCATTATAAACCTGGTATAAACACTTTTTCTATTTTATTTTTGTATAACTGTGATTTTAGTGACATTAAATATGTTTAAATGTTTAGTAGTTTGTTGACTTTACTGTTTGGTAAACTGTTGTATAGTGTATCCATTTATTTGGGTCTTGACAGTTTTTATTGGTTTCTATGAACTCATTATTAATAATACCAAACATGTAATGACTATTTCTTATAAATATTTTATTTTTGATTAGCTTTTAATCTAAATTGCTATAATTTATATTTCTAAGATAACTCTCTTATACTAGGCTTGTAATTATGGGAACTGCTTACCTTCATAGGTGTTGAGATAGTGGTTTTTTACTACAAAGTCCTCTGAATTGTTGTCTGGAAAACGACCAAGGCGAGATAGAGGTCCATAGACCTGTGATGCATAATCACAATAATCCTTGATGATATTTCTTCTCTCCAACTTCCCTTCTATATTCTTCCCCTTTCCCATAAGTTTTCTGATTGCTAAAATAAAACATACCTCCATGACTATCTCTAAAATATTTTTCTGAATGATCCAAATGCAGGCTAGTAAACCAGCTGTAGTTTTATTCACAGGGAGACTACTGAGCTGAATAAATTTCATCATGATCACTCACTGCAGCCTGAATATAAAACTTAAGACAAAGAACAGGTGGATATGACAGAAGCTGAATCAGCTAGTGTCCTCAATTGGTACTCATCAAAAATCTTTTATAACTGCATTCCAGTTATAAAAGCTCTGGGCCAGAAATAAGTTTGTGCAATGAATGAAAGAAACTCAAATAACTGAAAAATATATGTCTTCAATAGAGACTAAGGGAATTATTTTCTCCTAAGAGAATAATTAAAAGGGAAGGAAGACTACAAGTTCTTCAAAAAATCTCTGGTCATCTTGGCTAACGCCAGAATAAACTAGAATATATCCAAGCTTATAGTTTAAGAATTATTTGGCAGGCTCAGCTGTACATATTAGTTTACTAATTTAAGGAGTCAGGATTACTACCTCTACCTGCTCCTTTTCTTTCAGTCCCATCACAGACCCACCCCCTTTTGAAGGCTCTACATCAGGTACTCTCAATGGGTGTTAAAACCAGATTGTGAGATTTTGAAGCCATATTGTAAGAGGTGGCTGCATGAACCACTGCTGCCTTTTGAATGTTATTTATACGTGACCCTCAGGGCTTTTGTGTGTGACTTGGAATTTCATTATTAAAATAATTTATATTTCACTTTGTTGTTTTTGTTTAATTGCTAAGTTGTCTCCGACTCTTTTGCAACCTCATGAACTGTACCCACCAAGTTCCTCTGTCCATGGGATTTCCCAGGCAAGAATATTGAAGTGGGCTGCCATTTCCTTCTACAGTGGATCTTTATCACCCAGGGATCAAACTGGTGTCTCCAGCACTAGCAGGCAGATTCTTTACCATGGAGCCACCTGGAAAGCCTTAGTTATTTAAGAAAATTAGTCAACCCATCACTGGTTATTTCAAGGACTGAAAAGAAAAAATTGCTGACAATATCTAAATGCATACCTAAAAGCTAGTTAAGTGAAAAGTCATTTTCTTACACACTCAAAAAAATTCAGGGGCAAATAACACTGAGAGCAGATAACAAGGACCTGACTTTCTGGGAGTAGGGGTCCTTGAAGGTCTTCCTGGAGGAAGTGACATTTGAGTTGTTTCTTAGTCTGGGTTCCCCCAAAGACAGAATTTGAGATAAAGGCATGTGTGCAGGTAGTTTATTGTGAGGTGATTCCAGAGGGTGAAGAGAGAGGAACAGAAGGAGTAATGAGAAAAAAAAAGTCAACCCATTGCTAATTGTGTCAACTACTGAAAAGAAAAAAATGTTGGTAGTATCTAAATGCATATGTAGCAGCTAATTAAGTTAAAAGTTATTTTCTCACATCAAGAAAGTTACAAGTCCACTAAATATAATTTTTAAGAAATTAATTTTTGTAATTGTTTTACTAGGAAATTTTTGAATAATTCTTTACTATGATTACATTGCTATTATTATGTGTATAGATCGCTAATCTGCATATATAAATGATGCAGTACAACTTTTATAAGTAAATAAATTACATTAAAAATTACTCAGCAAGTACAGCTATAAAGCTAAATGCTAATAAATTAAAACTTTTTAAATTCTAATTAAAAATTTTTATTGTCAGTTTTAATCCTCCACTGACTTCTCTTTTTTTTTTGTTCTACTTCTCTTTTTATGTATAAAGTACAGATATATTTATAGTATATAAACAGATATATAGTACACCTATGGTATTAAAATTTCACGGGAGGGACTTACTTCTCTACTGGTCCAGTGGTTAAGAATCTGCCTTGCAACGCAGGGGATATGGATTTGATCCCTGGTCGAGGAACTAAGATCTCACACGCTGGGCATGGGGCAACTAAGCCTACGTTGCCACAACTACCGAAGCCCCTGCATGGAAAAGAAGACCCAAGACAGGGGTCTTTAAAAAATGTTTTTTTAATTTCATGGAAGGGGGATAAGTAGGAAAAAAGATATCTGAATGTCTCTTTTAGTGGGAAACAATGAAAAACAGGTTGAGAAATAAAGCTCTCTATGCAGGGCTTCAGCCTATGAATATGGGCTGAATACCTACACACAACAAACCTACACACACACACAGAGTCCATAGTGCCAACAACCTGCTACCCACTAGAATATCATTACTTGATTTTTTCTTAGTGATGAATTTTCTTCCACTCTTCTACTTTTGAGAAATAACTCATTTCCTGTCCCTTATCAGTTAAATAACACTAGGACCAAAAAGGAATTATATCACAGTTAAATCAGCTTTGGTCAAAAACCCAAAGCTGAGCCAGCTTTTCCATTCTCTTGCTGATTGGTGCTCCACCATCACCTGATACATGCTTGCGTTGAATCTGTGCCAACTTTGCCTCCTTTGCTTCCTGTAGTTTAGACCACTGGGCATTCAAGCGTGCCATGTTCACTTCATTTTGATTCTCGTCACGCTTCTTCAGCAGTTCTTTTAGAACTTCCAGGCGAATCTCCTGCAATCTTCAAGCAAATTACAATCATAAAGAAGCCTATGATCTCTCAGACAGGATGCTCTACTAAAGAAAGGGAACATTTGCCATAAAATAGGACCTTCTCTTCAGGCTGGTACCATATTCATGTATTTTAAAAAGACCACTCTGGCAAAAGTGTGGAAAATGAGTTGGGGGTTGGGGTAGGCACTCAATAGTCTTTATATAAGAAGAATATTATATGGGTATATCTCTAGGCAGAAGAGCCTAAATGAACAGAAAAATGTTTGTCCACAGTTTCAGGCTGACAGGTATTGCTGGAAGGTTAAGGAACAGGAGGATTGAGAGAAAATGTGGTTGTGGCATGCCACCTTAAGTAGTGAATGTGAAAATGCCAGCATCTGACACATACGGATATTCATTCTTCACTTCCCTTTACTTCACCTTCTCATTGTTCTCCAGGACTACCTTGCTTATGTGTACATATGACTTCAAAATATCTACTTCAGCCCAGATATTTCTGAACCAGAACTTCCAACTACTTGAATCTCCAATTATCTCTTCAAAAAAAACCTACAGAAACCTACTTCTCCTACCTTCTTCCCTCCTCTAAAACACTCCTTACATCTGTTCCCTAGCTCATGTCTTGGGCATCTCTCTCCTGACTCGGACTCTAGGTGTTAGTCTAGTCTTGCCTCCTTCCAATCTTTGTTCCATGTAGTGGTCAAGATTTTCCTTTCTAAAATAAAGATTTGAACATTTTACTCTTACTTAAAATTTTACATAATAATTTATTCAATCACTTATTTGTCAAATACTTTTGCCAGGCAGGGAATAAAACAATGGTGAACAAGATGCACTGTCTCAAGGAGACACTGTTTCAATGAAGTAGGCATATAAACCAACATTTACAACACAGGGATCAAAAAAAAACACCAGGGCAGAAAAATGAAAAGACTTCTGCGGGAGAAGAAATGGCAGAACACCTCTTTCAGTGCTATTCCCAGGAGCAGGGTGGTGGGAAAGGCTTCTTTACAGTAGCCGTTAACTCAGCACTTGAGGACTGAAAGGGTAGAGATGTGCCACACTCACAAGGGAGAAGTGGGGCCTCAGCAGAGCCAGCACATTGTCAGGGGCTTGGTGGCACTGCTCTGAGCAATGAAGCACCTCAGCCCAGGAACAAAGGGCACCTCCAGAACTTCCCTTCCCCCTCTTCTTGCTAAGGAGCTGCAATTTTTTGGTCCTCATCATTTCTACAATACATCAGTTAAAATGGCTAAAAATTCAACCAGAAATACCCTAGCATATTGTTACTTATGTACTGTGAGGTCATCTCTTAACTGAAATATTCCACAGTTTGTCTTTTAAATATAAACGCCTTATTACCTGCAGCTAGAACCCAAGGGGTCCTGACTGAATCCGGTACCAGGGGGAAGAGACAGGGTGAGCCAGGAGCTGTTTGATGGATAGGAAGAGGGTCAAAGTTGAGGGACCCTGGCACTGGTAAGAACAGAAAGGGACAGTCTGAAAGACATTTTGGAAAAATCAGTGGAATTCTGTGACAGTCTAGATAAGTTACTAAAGAGAAAAGAGAAGATCAGAGATGCTGTGAAGAATTGTTCAAATCTGAGTTCCACATTGAACTTCACACATAAAGAAGGCATTATACATATATATATATTATTGGAGAAAAAATAATGGAGCTATTGCTCCTGAAACCCAGTCTCCTAACTCTACAGGTTAAGGATTGCTTTTAAACCCTTACATTTGGGAACTCTATTTGCTCTATTGCTTAAAAGTATTAACATTAATCCCATTAGTGTAGGAGCAACTCTCTGGGTAACTGAGAACCTACTTCTCAATCTCCTGCTCTCTGAAGGCCCACTCCTTCCTCTCCATGGCATTCATCATCCGCCTCCTTTTCTCAAACTGGGAGGTGTCACTCAGAGGGGGCAGGGTGTCTTCCCAAGCACGCTTCTCCCGGGCACGTTCTATCATCTCTACTTCAGCTTGTCCTGCCGGGAGACCTCGACCTAGAGGATGAGGCAGAACACTTAAGAAACACACAGACACACTCACGTACCTACTAGTATTTAATTGACTCCCTCTCAATTCCTGTCCTCTTTAAATTCAAGGTTATGACAAGATGAAATGATATTGGGATATGTCTCCACATGTGCCTAAGAGTGTATTATCTGTGCCCTGCACTCTCTCTTGTTAGCAATTCAGTCAGAAGACTTTTTTTTGCATGGAAGTATTTAAAGATATTAGGTGATTACTAAATAATCACACCTTGGAATGTTCCATATTGGAAAAATCCATCTTTTGAAATAAAAAGAAATATCAAAATAACTTGCAGAAGATCATAGTTAGTAAGTGGTGAAACCCAGAATTTGCCCATGACAATCTGGCCCTTGCGGTCTTACATACTACACTATACTCCCTCTCTAGAAACAAATATGAAACAAAAATGATACAGAGAAGCCCACAGCTAATACCATACTCAACAGTGAAAGGTTAAAAGCTTTTTCTCTAAGATCAGGAACAAGGTAAGAGTGCACACTCTCACCACTCCTGTTCAACATAGTACTGGAAGCCCTAACCAGAGAAATTGGCAAAAAAATTTAAAAAAAAAAAAGAGAGAGAAAGAAATAAAGAAAAATACATCCAAGTCGGAAAGTGAAAGTGTTAGTCGTTCAGTCATGTCTGACTTTTTGCAACCGCATGGGCTGTCCATGGAATTCTCCAGGCAGGAATACTGGAGTGGGTTGCCATTCCCTTCTCCAGGGGATCTTCCCAACTTAGGGATAGACCCAGTGTCTCCTATACTGCAGGCAGATTCTTTACCATCTGTGCTACCAGGGAAGGAAGAAGTAAAATTATATGTAGATTTCATATAATCTAAGAGCTGAGATTCTTAGTTCTGGTCATTCAAATTTTTTAAATGAGTGTATTGCCTACAAGTAAAAATAGTTTTGCTTCTTCTTTCTAATCCACATACCTAATTTTTCTTCTCTTATTTTACTGCATTAACTCAATTATTTCTCAGCCAGGATGCTATTAACACCATATTGGGCAAACAATTAATTTTTGGATGGGCCTGCCCCATGCAGGGTAGGATGTTTAGTATCCATGCTAGCCTGGCTCCCCCAAACCCAACCCATTTGCCTTATCATTATTATGGAATTGCCAAATGTCCCTGGGGTTGATGGTCACAGCCTAGTTGAAAAAGTTCTGGGCTAGGATCTTCCCTGAACTGCTAAATAATAGTGGTGATAAAGGAATCACTGTCTTTTTCTTGATTTTAAGGATAAAGCTTCTCAAGTCTTACGTTTAGTATTATGTTTATTCAGATAACCTTTATTAAATTACTAAAATTTCCTTCTGATCCCAACATTTAGAGTTTACAACATGAATGCATGTCTAATGTTATCAAACTACTTTTCCTGAATCTACTGGAGCATTTTCTGATATTTTCTGTTAAAATGGTAAAATGCATTGGTTGGTTTTATGATATTGTACTAAACTCGAATTTGTGTGATTAACCCATTTGGTTATGGTAAGTCATCTACTAACTTATTTTTAAAATTTATTTATTTGGCTGTGCCAGTTCTTAGTTGCAGTAGGCAGGATCTAGTTCTCTGTTGTTGTTCAGTCACTAACTCTGTCTGACTCTGTGGCCCCTTGGACTGCAGCGTGCCAGGCTTACCTGTCCTTCACTATCTCCCAGGGTTTGCTCAAATTCATGTGCATTGAGTTGGTATTGCCATCCAATCATCTCATCCTCTGTCACCCCCTTCTCCTCCTGCCCTCAGGATCCTCCTTTCTCAGCATTCAGGGTTTTTTCCAGTGAGTGCTAGTTCTCTGATCAGGGATCAAACCCAGGCCCCCTGCATTGGGAATGTGGAGTTTTAGCCACTGGACCATCAGGGATGTGTCAGTCATCTTTTTAAGATACTGTCACATGTCACTTTTCTATATACTAATAATGAACTATCAGAAAGAGAAAGCAAAAAAAAAAAAAAAATCCCACTTAAAATCCCATCACTTGATCATGGTGTAAGATCTCTTTAATGTGTTGTTGGATTCTATTTTCTAACCATCCCACACTGTTGGTGAGAATTGGTGGAGCCTTTATGGAAAACAGTATGGAGGTTCCTCAAAACACTAAAAATGGAGTTATCATATGATCCAGGAATCCTACTCCTGAGCATATATCAGGACAAAACTACAATTAAAAAAGATACATGCAACCCTCTGTTCATAGCAGCATTATTCATAATAGCCATAACATGGAAAGAACCTAAATGTCCATATACAGTGGAATACTACTCAGCCGTAAAAAGAACTAACGCCATTTGCAGAAATATGGATGAACCTAGAGATTATCATACTAAGTGAACTAAGTCAGGAGAAAGACAAATACCATATGAAATCACTTATATGTACAATCTAAAATGACACAAATAAATTTATCTACAAAACATAACAGACTCATAGAGAACAGGTTTGTGGTTGCCAAGGGGGACCGGAAGTGGGGGAGGGATAGAGGGAGAGTTTGAGGTTAGCAGATGCAAACAATAATATGCACAGTGGATAAATGACAAGATCCTTCTGCACAGCACAGGGAACTATATTCAATATCCTGTGATAAACCATGATGGAAAAGACATGAAAAGGAATGTGTTTATATATATAACTGAATCACTTCATTGTACAAAAAAATTAATACAACATTGTAAATCAACTATATTTCAATATAAAATTAAAGAAAAACAAGCAATAATAAAGAAAAAATAAAACAAAATCCCATCAAAAAGAGAAAAATACCTACAAATAAACTTAACCAAAGAGGTGAGAGACCTATATTCTGAAAACTATAAAATATTAATGAAGGCATCTGAAAACCACATCAAGAAATGGAAAGATATCCTATGTTTTAGATTGGAAGAACTGATATTGTTAAAATGTCCACACTACCCAAAAAGTATACAAATATAATTTGGTGGAGTAGAAGGATGTGTGCCCATCTTCTCCTGTGAGAACACCAAAATCACAACTAGCTGCTGAACAACCATCAAAAAGAGAATGTTGGAACCACCAAGAAAAGCTACTCCACATCCAAGGACAAAGGAGAAGCAGCAAGATGGTAGGAGGGGTGCAATCACATTTAAAATCAAACCTCATACCTGCCAGAGACTCTTGGAGGGCATAAACAAAATCTTGTGTGCACCAAAACCCACGGAAAGGAGCAATGATCCCCACAAGAGACTGAGCCAGACCTGCCTTTGAGTGTGTCAGGGTCTTCTGCAGAGGCAGGGGTCAGCAGCGGCCTCCCACAGGGACAGAACACTGGCAGGAGCAGTGCTGGGAGGCACGGCAGGTGGAATAAGTCCCCTTGTAGGAGGCCACCATTAGCCCCACTACAGAGCTGCCGGACAGGCGATCCGCAAACTGGAGAACAATTATACCAAAGAAGTTCTCATGCTGTTGCAAAAGTTCTAGGGCCCACAACAGGCTTCCAAACCTGGGATCTGGCAAAGGGACTGGGAGTCCCCAGGGAATCTGACTTGAATGTCAGTGGGATTTGATTATAAAACTTCCACAGGACTGGGGAAATAGACTCTTGGAAGGAAAAGACAAAACCATAAGTGCTCCAGGACCCAGGAGAAAGGAGCAGTGACCCCACACGAGACTGAGCCAGACTTCCCTATGAGTATTTGGGAGTCTCCAACATAGGCATGGGTCAACAGTGGCCTGCCACAGGGTCAGAGGTATTGACAGCAACAGTCCTGGGAGGCGCAATGTACTGGCACAAGTCCTTGAGGAGGTCACCATTACCCCACCATAGACCCTATAGCTCCACCATAGAGACTGCAAACTCTACCTCAGGCCAAACTACAGGGAGGGAGCACAGCCCCACCCATCAGCAGAAAATTGGATTAAAGATTTACTGGGCATGGCCCTGCCCACCAGAGCAAGACCTAGTTTTCCCCACAGCCAGTCCCTCCCATCAGGAAGTGTGGACTCCCATCCCTCAGAGGGCAGACAGAATGGAAACCACAATCACAGGAAATGAACTAAAATGATGGTCTTGTATAACCCAACGAAACTTTGAACCATGCCATATAGGACCACCCAAGATGGCTGGGTTATGGTGGAGAGATATGACAAAACGTGGTTCACTGGAGAAGGAGATGGCAAACCACTTCAGCATTCTTGCCTTGAGAACCCCATGAACATGAAAAGGCAAAAAGATATGACACTGAAAGATGAACCCCCTGGATTGGTAGGTGTCCAATATGCTACTGGAAAAGAGTGGAGAAATAAATCCAGAAGGAATGAAGAGGCTGAGCCAAAGCGGAGACAACACCCAGTTGTGGATGTCTGGTGGTGAAAGTAAAGTCTCATACTGTAAACAACAATATTGTATAGGAACCTGGAATGTCAGGCCATAATCAAGATAAATTGGAAGTGGTCAAACAGGAGATGGCAAGAGTGAACATCTACATTTTATGAATCAGTGAACTAAAATGGGCAGGAAAAGCAAATATAATTCGAAAGACCATTATATCTACTACTGTGGGCAAGAATCCCTTAGGAGAAATGGAGTAGTCCTCATAGTCAACAAAAGAGTCTGAAATGCAGCACTTGGGTCCAATCACAAAAATGACAGAATTATCTCAGTTTGTTTGCAAGGCAAACCATTCAACATCATAGTAATCCAAGTCTATGTCCCAACCACTAATGCCAAAGAGGCTGAGTTGAAAGGTTCTATGAATGCCTATGGGCTTCCCAGGTGGCGCTAATGGTAAAGAACCCACCTCCCAGTGCAGGAGATGCAAGAGACGTGGGTTCAATCCCTAGTTCTGGAGGATCCCCCAGAGGAGGGAGTGGCAATCCACTCAAGTATTCTTGCCTAAAGAAACCCTTGGACAAGATAGCCTGGCAGGCTACAATCCATAGGGTCACAAAGAGTCAAGCATGACTGAAGTGACTTAGCATGCATGCACACATGAAGACCTACAAGACCTTCTGGAACTAATACCCCAAAAAGATATCCTTTTCATTATAGGGGACTGGAATACAAAAGTAGGAAGTTAAGAAATACCTGGAGTAATGGGCAAATTTGGCCTTGGAGTACAGAATGAAGCAGGGTTTTGCCAAGAGAATGTACTGGTCATAGCAAACACCCTCTTCCAACAACACAAGAGAAGACTCTACACATGGACATCACCAGATGGTCCATAGTGAAATCAGATTAATTATATTCTTTGCAGCCAAAGATGGAGAAGCTCTATACAGTCAGCAAACACAAGACTGGGAGCTGACTGTGGCTCAGATCATGAACTCCTTATTGCCAAATTCAGATGTAAATTGAAAAAAGTAGGGAAAAACCATTAGATCATTCAGGTATGACCTAAATAAAATCCTTTATGACTATACGGTGGAAGTGACAGATAGATTCAAGGGATTAGATCTGATAGACAGAGAGCCTGAAGAACTACGGACGGAGGTTTAGGACACTGTACAGGAGGCAGAGATCAAGACCATCCCCAAGAAAAAGAAATGCAAAAAGGCAAAATGGTTGTCTGAGGAGGCCTTACAAATAGCTGAGAAAAGAAGAGAAACAAAAGGCAAAGGAGAAAAGGAAAGATATACCCATTTGAATGCAGAGTTTCAAAGAACAGCCAGGAGAGATAAGAAAGCCTTCCTCAGTGATCAGTGCAAAGAAACAAAGGAAAACAATAGAATGGGAAAGACTAGATATCTGATCAAGAAAATGAGAGATACCAAGGGAATATTTCATGCAAAGATGGGCACAATAAAGGAAAGAAATGGGATGAGCCTAACAGAAGCAGAAGATATTAAGAAGAGGTGGCAAGAATACACAGAAGAACTATACAAAAAAGATCTTCACGACCAAATAATCATGATATTGTGATCACTCATCTAGAGCCAGACATCCTGGAATGTGAAGTCAAGTGGGCCTTAGAAAGCATCACTATGAACAAAGCTAGTGGAGGTGACGCAATTCCAGTTGAGCTATTTCAAATCCTCAAAGATGATGCTGTGAAAATGCTGCACTCAATTTGCCAGCAAATTTGGAAAACTTCAGCAGTGGCCACAGGACTGGAAAAGGTCAGTTTTCATTCCAATCCCAAAGAAAGGCAATGCCAAAGAATGCTCAAACTACTGCACAATTGCACTCATCTCACACGCTAGGAAAGTAATGCTCAAAATTCTCCAAGCCCATGAACAATTCTTCAACAGCCCATGAACCATGAAATTGCAGATGTTCAAGCTGGATTCAGAAAAGGCAGAGGAACCAGAGATCAAATTGCCAACATCCGCTGGATGATAGCAAAAGCAAAAGAGTTCCAGAAAAACATCTACTTCTGCTTCATTGACTATGCCAAAGCCTTTGATTGTGTGGATCACAACAAACTGTGGAAAATTCTTCAAAAGATGGGAATACCAGAACACCTGACCTGCCTCCTGAGAAATCTGTATGCAGGTCAAGAAGTAGCCATTAGAACTGGACATGGAACAACAGATTGGTTCCAAATAGGGAAAGGAGTATGTCAAGGCTGTATACTGTCACCCTGCTTATTTAACTTTTATGCAGAATACATCATGAGAAATGCTGGACTGGATGAAACACAGGCTGGAATGAAGACTGCTGGGAGAAATATCAATAACCTCAGATATGAAGATGATACCACCCTTATGGCATAAAGTGAAGAAGAACTAAAGAGCCTCTTGATGAAAGTGAAAGAGGAGAATGAAAAAAGCTGGCTTAAAACTCAACATTCAGAAATCTAAGATCATGGCATCTGGTCCCATTACTTCATAGCAAATAGATGGGGAAACAGTGGAAACAGTGACAGACTTTATTTTTAGGGGCTCCAAAATCACTGCAGACGGTGTTTGCAGCCATGAAATTATAAGACACTTACTCCTTGGAAGCAAAGTTATGACCAACCTAGATAGCATATTAAAAAGCAGAGACATTACTTTGCCAACAAAGGTCCACTGAGTCAAAGCTATGGTTTTCCCAGTAGTCATGTATGGATGTGAGATTTGGACTATAAAGAAAGTTGAGCGCTGAAGAATTGATGCTTTTAAACTGTGGTGTTGGAGAAGACCCTTGAGAGTCCCTTGGACTGCAAGGAGATCCAACCAGTCCTTCCTAAACGAAATCAGTCCTGAATATTCATTGGAAGGACTGATGCTGAAGCTGAAACTCCAATAGATTGGCCACCTGATGCAAAGAACTGACTCATTTGAAAAGACACTGATGCTGGGAAAGATTGAAGGCAGGAGGAGAAGGGGATGACAGAGGATGCGATGGCTGGATGGCATCACCAACTCAATGGACAGGAGTTTGAGTAAACTCTGGGAGTTGGTGATGGACAGGGAGGCCTGGCGTGCTGCAGTTCATGGGGTTGCAAAGAGTTGCAAAGAGTTGGACATGACTGAGCGACTGAACTTGGAAGTATGTTCAAGTATGTCCTTTTATTCTTCCCTTATTCAGATTAATAGCTAACATTTATAGAATGCTTATTTACATACTAGGCATTGGCCTAAGCACATTATATAAATGAATTTAATTAGTGTTTACAATATCCTATGAGATAGACCTATGAAATGTTCTGTCCTATGAAAGTGTCATTATTTCACCTTCTCACCTGAGTAAGAGTTTGGCTGGTGTAAGAATTCTAGATTTGGGTTATTTTCCCACAGCACTTTAAAGATACTACAGAACGCCCACCTGGAGGTACTCTGTCTCTTAGGGAGCCTGGAATTCCTTGCGTAAACAGCGCCAAGCCCACTTCCAAAATCTACATGGGCCACTTCACAAGATTCAGACTCCTGAGGGAAGACCCCTTAAGCCCAAGGGGTAGCCACATAGCAGCTGTCTGCAAGGATGTCTAAACAGAAAGTGGAAAAGCAGGGCAGGAGAGGCAATCATAGGCATGCACAACCAGCCCCTCATGATGAACAGAGCCAGAGGAAAGGGCCGCCCCCAGGCGCAGCCTCTCCCACTCCTGCCACATGCCAGTGTGCTATCCCAAGGAGTCTAAGAACTGTAAATGTACACTTGTCCTTTCAGCTTTTTATAAAGATTTATTTGTGAAAAATATAGAATGTATATTATCTAACAGACAGTAGCTTGATTTATAACATTTAAACGTCTACACACACAATATGTAGGCCTCCATTTAAACTTTTACCCAGGGCCTCACCAACGAGGAGGTAGGCCTGACTCATGGAGCTTTTTACTGACAATTTCAACCCCAGAGCTGCCAAGCACAGGGCTCCAATTAGGTCTTTACCAAGTGAAGCATTTCTGAGCCCCTACCTAAACCTCTTGTTTTCAAGGGTGTGGCTCCAGTCCTTCTGCAGCTCAAAGCTAAGCCCTTCTCACAAGAGGTAAAGCTCAAGGCCGCAGGTAGGAGTACCTGGCTTAGACTGGCAGGCACTGGGCTTCAGTCCTACCTCTAGGCAGGAGAGAAGTTTCTCTCTCCTTTAGTTTAATCAGGTAACTCAGGTCTGGCTCCTCACCATTCAGAGTCCCTGCTCATCATCACAGATTCCCTTTTAGGAAGAAGTCTCCACTGCTAAATGATTGATTTTCTTCCTTGATTTTAAGTGTGGTTATTAATTTTCATAATTATGCTTTTTGTGTGTTCAAAGTTGAGGGAAAGATTTCAGCATACTCTGAATCTGTCATCTAGACTGAAGGTAGAGTCTCTGCTTTAAACTGTGGGTGTCAAGAATACTTAATCTAGATCCAAGAAGTGAGCCAAGAAACAAGAATCAAAACTAGAACTTAGATGTGAACATCCTTGTTGCTACTAACACATATTTGATCACAGCAATTCATTACATTGGGAAAACAAAAGTAACCTCATTTTAACAAAATGATTTTAATAAAAATCATTACAATGTACTAAGTATTTCCATGACCTTCAAGGAATCAGTCTCTCTGGTTCTCAGCTTCCTAGGCACAATCAAATGACTTTAATAAGGTAATTTCTAACCATTTCTAAAGGTCCCTTCTCTTATTAATTTTTATAGTTTCACATTATAAAGGCCTAGCCTAGAGTGAATTTCTATACTCTGAGAGTGACTTTCTGAACATTTCAGATATAATGTCAAAAGAAATCATCCAAGTCATCAAATAAAGTGTATAAGAGAGTCTTGATAAATCCCAAGATATTTTAGCAAAGTAAGAGGACATTATTACTTGTTGGAAAGTGCAAAATGCATATTATTGCTATATTTACAATATGCATGATGTGTATTATAAGAAAATATTACTACTTGGAATATGTGTATGTCATGCATATTACATGTTAGAATATGCATTATTATATACTCAAAAAAAATTTATGTGTAAAAAAAGAATAGAAATTTCTCAGTGAAAAGGAGCTGATTCACTGAGAGAAACAGTGAGAAGAGGGAGGTAAGTCATCAGCAAAGTAACCACAAAATTAAGTCTAAATGTAACTTCAGCTTCAGGGAAAAAGGACAAGAAGTGTCCTTACAATGATAAGGGCATATCTCTCTTTGAACAAATCTAACAGAAAGTGTACCAGTCTATGAAGTAGCTCTACTGAGCAAGATACTTTAAATAGCAATACTTCAAACCATAGTTGCCTGTGTGTGTGTCATTTCTAAGAACTCAATAGCATGCGTGGTCATCAGGACTGTCATCTGTAAATATTCAAAAGAATTTCCAACTCACCCCAAGTGAGAGTAGCCAGGGTCAGGAGCTCAGGGATGGAATCCTGACATACTACATATTCTGGAGAATACGGGTCTGTTTGAACTTCAGCATCCCGATAATCAGTCTGAGTGCCCACCGTGTACTTCGAAGGAACGGGCAGGTACTTAGTAGGAGGAGGAGGAAAAGTATATGGATCTGCCCTAAAAAGGGAAAATTATTTTTAAAATTGAAACCTGATATAATCACTTTATATCTGTCAATAGGTTTTGCAACATATATGATTAAGAGTTAAATAGCCTATGTAAAATGCCCTTGTGAATCAATAAGACAGTTAAATAGCCACAGAAAAATGAGTAAAGGACAGTCAGAAAACAAACAGTAAAACTTCCAACAATCATATGAAATGATAATGAACATAACTAATAATCAAAGAAAATTAAAACAGCAAGATGCTATTTAATTATATCACATAAGAAATGATTTAAAAGATTGAAAGTACTTAGCATCAATGAACTTGTGAAGAAACAGGCATTCTCATAAACTGCTGATGAATATACAAACAGGTAAATCTAACTAACAAGTGACTAAATATATACCAAACCCTTAAAACACCCTTTTGCCCGAGCAATTGTGCTCCTAGGAATTTATTATGGGGAATAAGTCAATGAGTGTGCAAAGATATATGCAAACATGTTTATCAAGTCTCATTTATAAGAGTAAAAAAACTTCTTAATGGCTGATTTTATTTTTAAAAGTAGTTATATCCGGAGTTATTAGGCATCAACCTTGGATCCATTATTTTCATCTTTTTTTCATTCTATTTTTAAGCACAGAAAAACATAAATTCACTTAAACATGTGCCTACCCTTATCCACAATTTAACAAAAAGTATAGTAGCACATATAGTTTAATGTTTTAGTGCAGTGTTTTCTTTTACTTTTGAGTTTGCATTCCTCAATCCCTTTCTCTTCCTTTTCCACCCACAGCAGTACCTTTTCTATATACCTGGTATCTACGATCTTCCCAACCCCAGGATTGAACCTGCGTCTCTTAAGTCTCCTGCAATGGCAAGTGGGTTCTTTACCACTAACGCCATCTAGGAAGCCCATCTAGGATATATATCCCAAATGTATCCTTGAATTACATCCTCCATATTTTTTGCACACTTATTTTCTACAACTGACACAAATAGTTTATTTTACTGTTTGACTAACATGAAATCATATTATAAGTACAGTTTTGCATCTTGCTTTTTTGACTAAACATCACTTCATGGAACTCCTTCCCAATCTACTCATGTGACTCTAAATAAAAATCACAAACTTAAATAATGACCATCAGTAGAAAAACTGTTTAAAAAATGGTACATCCATAATTTTTATCCAGCTATGAAAAGTAACAATGTAATCTATATGAATGAACAAAAATGTCTATGATCTAACGTAAAGTAGAAAAAACACTATAAAGCATTATGTACAATAGGAGTACATTTTTATGTTTTTATAGACTGTGCTACTGGGCACATAAAAATTCCTAAATGGATATACAATAATAAAAGCAATTATTTCTGGATAGTATAATTATAGAGAGAATTTTTTCATGTTTATAGTCTTCTGAATTTTCTTTTTTAACCTGTACATATACTACTTATAAAACAAGAAATACATATATATGTATACATACCACTTCCATTTAAAATAAATCTTTTTCTAGTTGGTAAACTGATTAAATTACATAAATAAATACAATGGAAAAAAGAGTTTTCCATTGAGAAAAATAGTCAAAGGCAATAGGAGGTGCTTATACATGAGCACAGCATGTACATCTTAGCTCAAAGAAAAATGCATTTCAAGCCAATCAGAAAGAAGCGTCTATTTGGCAGTTCAACCTGTGATGGAAGAGTACTTTAAGTAGTTTTTAATGTTGAAATCTAACAGGTACTGAAATCATTTTTTTCAGCAGTTGCTATTAATTCCTAACATAAGTAGACAATATGAATATATATAGTTTCTTATGTTTTCAGCAGACAGTATTCTACTACAAAAATTCTACTTGAGGAGGAAATAACTTTAAATTACGTTTATATCATCCCAGGTCATGTGAATATTATTATGAAATCATCAGCTTGGATCAAGAGAATAAATTACTGCTTTCCAAATTAGTTTCACATTTGACCCATCTGATTAAACATGCTATGGCAAAGCCTGAGGAATCCTTCTGCCAAAGCTTTCTGCTGACTTGGGACTGTGGGTCTGAGGAGAAGATGCAAAGGAGGAATGCTACTTGGGCAAAAGTCCTGTGAAACTTAATAGCACAGTTCCTTTCCCAACTAGGTCTCCCCCTTGGCCCAGAGGGTAAAGCGTCTGCCTACAATGTGAGAGACCTGAGTTCAATTCCTGGGTCAGGATTAACTTGTTATTTTTCTCCAACATATTCTTCTCTCCATTTCAGTTGGTTTCAGGGGAGAGTAAAATGTGAATAAAAGGAAGCAAAAAATCTTTCCCAGCTGCCCAACCTCAATGAGGACCCAACACCAGAAAGCCCCTCCATCTGCTCCGTACTTGGCTTGTGCTCTGCCTGGTCCTGGACCGCATCCTGAGCCTCGCTTAGTCTGAGGACGGTGTCCCTTCAGCAGCCGCTACTGCTCCATACCCTCATCCTCTAATTCCAGTCACCACTGAAGCAGGCACTGTTTGCACACCCACAGTCTTTTAAATTTTCCCCTTCTAGTCCCCACAAAACTAGAGGCAGGGCTTCCTTGGTGGCCCAGTGGTAAAGAACCTGCCTGCCAATGCAGAAGACACAGGTTTGATCCCTGGTCCAGGAAGATCCCACAGGCCATGAAGCATCTCAGCCCTGCACCACAACTTCAAAGCCTCTTTTGAGAGCTCAGGGACTATAACTACTAAAGCCACACACTGCAGCTGAAGCCCGTGTGCCCTGGAGCCCGTGCAACAAGAGAAGCCACCGCAATAAGCCCTTGCAGTGCAACAAAGAACAGCCCCACTCTCTGCAACTAAAGAAAAGCAAGCACAGCAACAAAGACCCATTCAGCTAAAAATGAATGATAAATACATTTAAAAAAACCCACACACAAAGAGGAGCTTCACAAAGCTAGCAAATCTTATTCTGTTATTAAGAACTTTATTGAACATTTGCATTTTTAAAGACAATTTTTAGAGCAATCTTAGGTCACAGCAACATTGAGAAGGCACAAAAACTTCCCATATACCCCTTCCCCATCATGTGCATAGCCCGACCCACTGTCAACATCACTCGCCAGGTGGTACCTTTGTTAAAACTGATGTACCGACACTGGCACTTCACAGACACCCAAAATACAGTTTACATTAAGGTTCACTTTTTTCTTTTTAAAATATATATACTTTATTGAAGTACGGCTGACTTACAATGTTTCAGGTCCACAGCAATGTGATTGAGTTTTATATATATATATATATATATTTATATATATTTATATACACACATACACATAATCTTTCAGATTATTTTCCATTATAGTTTATTACAAGATATTGACTATAGTTCCCTGTTAAGGTTCACTTTTGGTGTCATACATTATATGGATACAGACAAATCCTTACATGTCAATGTAGACATGTATAATAATCTGTATCCACCACATAGTAACATACAGAGTATTTGCCCTCCCTTTAAATCCTCTGTGCTCCTATTCATCCTTTCCCCATTCTCCCCAGCCCCCTGGCAACCAATAATCTTTTTATCATCTCCATAGTTTTACCTTTTCCAGAATGTCATCTAGTTGGAATCATACATATGCAGCCCTTTCAGATTAGCTTCTTTCTCTTAGCAATATGCATTTAGGGTTCCTCCATGTCTTTTCATGACTTGATAGCTCATTTCTATTTAGTGCTGAATAATATTTTGTTGCCTCAATGTACCATGGTTTACTTATCCATTCACCTGCTGAAGGACATTTTGGTTGCTTCCATGTTTCAGCAACTATGAATAAAGCTGCTATAAACATTTGTTTGCAGGATTTTGTGTAGACATGAGTTTTCAACCCCTTCAGGTAAACAGGACTGCCAAATCATATGTTAAGAGTATGTGTATAGTCTTTTTTTTTTAAGAGTCTTAGAAAAATTTTATTTTGGTGTGTCAATTCATTAAAATTCATGATTCAGGTTAGAGTCACTAACATTTCTACAGATGAGTAATAATAGTATTAGTATTTTTCACTAGTTCAAAAAATGTGTCTTGAGTGCATAGGGATTAAAGTTCAATCCACATAGTCATTTACAGATGCCTCACTTCCATGAAGTGCATTGTTCAGAATAGTAGATAATACCATATTGTATAGAGTATGCATAGTCTTGTAAGAAACTGACAACCTGTCTTCTGAAGTGACTCTAGCATTTCGCATTTCCATCAAAAATAAAAATTCTTGTTGCTCAATATTTGGTGGTGTTAGTGTTCCACATTCTGGCCATTCTAACCGTTGTATAGTGGTATATTGTTTTAATTTGCATTTACACTTATTTGCCACTTGTATATCTTCTTTGGTGAGGTGTCTGTTAAGGTCTTTGAACTTTCTTTAATGAAGTCGAGATTACCCATTATTTTTTTTAATGGATCGTGATTTTGATGTTGTATCTAAAAAGTCATCACCATATCCAAGACCATCTAGGTTTTTCCTACGTAATCTAAGAGTTTTATATTTTTGTATTCTACTCTGAGGTCTGTGATCCATTTTAAGTTAATTTTGTGAAGGGTGTAAGAGGTGTGTCTAAATTCATTTTTTTTGCATGTAGATGTCCAGTTGTTCCAACATCATTTGTTAAAAAGACTGTCTTTGCTCCACTGTATTGCCTTTGTTCTTTTTGCCAAAGATTGTTATTCAATCACTAAGTCAAGTCCGACCCTCTGCGACCCCATGGACTGCAGCACATCAGGCTTCCTTGTCCTTCACCACCTCCTGGACTTTGCTCAAATTCACGTCCATTGAGTCAGTGATGCCAAACCATCTCATCTTCTGTCAAAGAGTAGCTGATTTTAATTATGTGGGTCTATTTCATCTGTCTATTCTTTCCATAACATCACAGTCTGTAAAACTTTTTATTTATTTTTGGCTGTGCAGGATCTTTGTTGCTAGGCGGGCTTTTCTCCAGCTGTGGCAAGCAGGGGCCACTCTCCAGTTGTGCACAGACTTCTCTTGCAG